TGCCACGCATGTCTCTCGACGCTTCGTAGGTTGAAACATCATGACGTGATATTCTAAGCTGCGGGGCAATTGTTACACCCCTTCAATTGGTATGCGTCAAGAGTTTCATAACCAAGGACTGATCACTAATGTCAAGAGTTGGCGGTTCATAAATGTCCCTAGGCCAAGGAGAACTCTTAAAGGAGAAAGGTATGGGCCGAGAACTCTACCAAAGCCTTACAAGCCACAACGTCGAGAGAACTGCAGGATCAGATTTAAATCAAATCCTGCCAAATCAAGAAGAGATAAACTATAATGACTGTCCCGATTCAAATTTGGAAATCAGATAACTGATAAGGAGAATTCCACAAAATCGGTCATTCAAATATGGAAATATAACTGCCAAATCTCGAGAATTAAGAAAAGGGAAATTATCCTCGTGAGATTAGAGATAATGATTTAAGACTTGATCGAAGGCCTATAAATAGAGGCTGAAATCTTCATTTAGTTTTTTACGCACTATTTTACTACTCCAAGAGAGATTGTAATTTTGATAATACTAGTACATCCACAAGTGAACGTACGCAAAGAATTTATGCCGAACCACTATAAACTTATGTGTTTCTTTGCTTTCTTGTGATTATTTTTTTGATTAATTCTTGAGAGATATTCGCGAGCGTTCTCGGAGAGATTTAATCTGGAGTTGACTAATTTTCACCGTCAACAAATCCCAAGTGAAAAATTTCATGGATGAAGCCATCAAAACTTATAGAAAGCTTGACATAATGTTCAACAATGTGGGGAAAGTTGACAAGAACATGGTACTGATCAAATACAACAAAAAGGCCGAGTTTGAGCGTGTGCTTAGAGTGAACATGACTGGAGTTTTTCTCGGCATGCCGCACAAGCGATGATCCCCGCGAGAAGCGGCAACATCATCTCAACTGGCAGCGTATGTTCCTACATCGGTGGTGGAGAGACACACGCATATACTTGCTCAAAGCATGCAATAGTAGGCCTAACAAAATACGCGGCGGTTGAGTTGGGACAATTCAGAATCAGAGTGAATTGCTTGTCACCATATTTGTTAGCAACGCCCCTGGCTAATAATTTTGCTCGGCTTGACCATGATGGGCTCGAGAATTTGGCGAATTTGAACTCAAACCTTAAGCATGTGACTCTTAAGGCAGAAGATGTTGCAAATGCAGCTCTTTATTTGGAGAGTGATGAGGGAAGGCATGTTAGTGGGCATAATCTTCTCATTGATGGTGGTTTTAGCATTGTTTATCCTTCAACATGTTTCAGTACCCAAAATAAAATAGAGAATGAATGACAAAGGAGTATTAGTTCTTTTGTAATTCACCTCTTAGGACACTTTTTTGCACCGTATTATATTGTTTTGTATTGTGTCATATCATATTTTATTGTTTAATTTTTGAATTGTGTGATGTTTATTTCGTATCTTATTAAATTATTAAATTCTATACCATGTTTGTTTTACCATCGCATTGTATTATGTATTTAAACTTTAAAGAAAATAAGATTTAGGCATTAACTTTGGAGTAGCTCGACTTTGACATTGATCTCAACCTAACATAGGGAGGGGACAAAAGATAAGGCAAAGGGCATCAAGTGGTTTCGTAAAGTTTTTTAAAATGGAACAAAAACATAATCTCTAAATTTTAAGGGATCAAAATATTATTATTTTTAATCAAAAATGAATTGAAGGATCAAAATGTAGTTTTCTAAAAATAGGGGGCAAAATGTACTTTTAAATAATTGAGTGTCAAATGCAATGTTTCAAAAAAGAAGGCTCAAAATGCATTTTCATAAATATTGATGGGGTGAAAAATAATTTTTTAAAAATAAAAGATTTTATTTTGATCCCTCAATGTTTAAAAATTTGAGAAACTGAGTATTCAAATTCTAGACCCCAACATTAGAGTGGAAACTGAGTATGATTTATTACTAGACTAAGCCTATAACCACAATTAAACTCTATTAATGATGATCATAAGTCTTGCAATAATGTACTTGTTTATTTTTTTTCTTGTATTTTACTTATTTGCAAGAATAAGTTTCTATGCATGTATCATAATTCATATGCATGTATCATAATTCACTTGTATTGCATATGTAAAATACAATAAAACTTCTTCTATGTTATTAAGGCACTTAGGTAGGTTCTAAGTTTTCTAGCCTTTTCATTTTAATTTTTTGTTACTTGTTTTAACGTTAATGTACTTGTCTCTTTATTTTTCTTAATCTTGTCATTTCTTAGAAAAAAGTTATTCTTCTCTCTCCTAATATTTTCAATAATATATTATATTCTAAATCTATGAATAAGAAAGAAAAACAATTGCACAAATATATATATATATATATATATATACAATACCAAAGAAATTCACATGTTAAAAGCAGGTAAATATTATATAAAACATTTATTTGAGGATTTTCTTTTCTTTTAAAATAGGGCTCTTTAAAAAATTTGCCTAAGGCCTCTAGGTGTGTTGAGCCAGCCTTGCAAGTAATTTGAGTTCAGATCTTGATCTGAGTTAAGGTGTATTTGAGTATGGTTTGAGTTGAGACACTCTAATTTGAGTTTATGTTTGGATGTGCATATTTTGAGTTATGATTTGAATTGAGAATTTATTTGAGTTTGTGTTTGGGTGGGTCAAAACTTAAATTTGTATTGAGATAGTGTTTTAATAAAAACTCAATAGTGAAGGAAAATTTTTATTCATCTATTCGTTGTGAACGCATAAGAAAAATCATCTCAATCAAAATTAAAATGAAAATATTATGGCGTTTTTAAGAATAGAAAGATACTGTTCATTAACTTGAGTTTGAGTTTATAAATTTGAGTTGAAGGGAGAACTTGAACTCATATTTTAGCCCCAAACTCAAATTTTATAAAACAATATGAACTTAAATAAAGTTGTAATTTGAGTTCAAATTTTTTTCGAGTTTGAGTGCAAATGAATTTATCATCACCGTCTCAACTGTTGTCTGTTTTAATATGGATGTTAGCTGGAAAAATTTTGAGGACCATATAAAAACTTATTCTAACTAATCAAAGTGACAATAAGTACTCTTTATTTGGAACACAAATGTAGCACTATATTTGAATATAATTGTTTGTTAGGATGGGTTAGCAAAAAATAAAACAAATGTTTATTAGGATGTCCGTATTAGCTCCAGCTATAAAGATTATAGAATGCAGCCAGCCAAAACCGTATAAAATTCTAGTTTGTGTTCAGCATTTCCGTCTTATTAGAGCTTCCGAGACCAACGTGACCAGAAAAAGACGAATTAAAGCATCTTGAACGTCTATTTCAGATATTTCATTAGAAAAAGAAAATTAAGCAATATCAAGAAAATTGGATCATACGCACGTAGAGCCTGCATTTTTCTTTTGCTGGAACTATAGAACTCATGTTGTATGACTAAACTTCTATTCCGTGAATACGTGGTATTTAAAAGCATTGTCCTTTCGACTGATGTAATTCATAGATTCTCACCAGGAAAACAACCTCTAATTCTATTGGATTAATTTACCTACCAAAATACTACCTTTTTCTTGCCATAACAATTATAACCTCTCTTGGTCAGGGTCTAGTTCATGGATTTGACAGAAAGTTCGAATAAATATTTAAAATTTTTGTAAGAAAAAATAGTATAACAAAATGAGTTTGAATAGTCTATGTACAAATCAGTTTATAATTTTAGAATAATCCCACCTAATAGAAGCTTCACAAATGGTATGCCGCACTTAATGGGATCCATGAACCTCCAAGTGGATCCCTCTATTTGTAAGAGCGTGAGACTTAGGGTCCGTTTTACATTGTTATGGAGGCTGTTTTTAGCTCTTTTTTTTTTTTTTTTTTTTTTTTTTTTTTTTTTTTTTTTTTTTTAAGTTATATTAGGTCAAAGTGTTTGGCAAAACCTATGTTTGTTCAATAACTTCTAAAAATTGATGCCATACAGCAGAATTTGAGAAGCAAGACAGGAGTTGCTTTTCTACAGGAGCCTCTACTGTTATTGTCTAAATTTACTAAAATGACCCCAATAATAAAACTTAATTCCCAATCAACTTATTTTATTGCTTCCAAATCAAATTAAAAATTATATTTTATTTTAAATATTTATTTGAAAATTTAAAATCTTTAATAAATATCTTGTGCTAAATTTTAATAATATATATTTATTATAATGTTGCAACTTTAAAAAATAATTTACCTTCAATAAAATTAATTTCTTTTTTAAGATATTTTAATTAATACAATGAAAATTATATATTTTTTTAGTATTTTGGTGTAAATATTATGAATATTGACTATAAAATAAAAATAAAACTAATTATAAGTATGTGCATGCCTATTTTAATCATTATACATCTTCACAGCATTTTTGTAATAGTTTACCAAACACTTAAATTTCTGCTTCTGGTATTTACAACAACTTTAAAAGAAAAATTTACCAAACACCTATATGTTCCTAGTTACAGCAACTTCTGACTAACAGTAGAACAACAACAGAAATTTTCAACAGCACAGAAATGCCAAACTAGCCCATAATGTAGTGGGGTTGACCATTTTAAATAAAAAAGAGAGTTTCTCCTGTAGGACCAGAAAAATGGAACTAATGGTAGTTTCATTTTTTTCAACCGTTTTCAACTGTCAGATTTGCATAAAAAACTGTCTGTTCTGCGTATTTTTTCAATCTCATTTGATTTTTAACTAGAGCCAACAGTGAAAAAACTAGTCCTATAAGTAGGACGATTTACCAAAAAAAGTCCCTAAAAAAACCATTTTTTTGTATGACGATGGGTTTATATCTCCCACTTTACATTAAAAAGGAAATTATTCACATTCGAAGTTTGATGGATGCACACACTCACACACCTAACCACTTGCTTCGTTAATCAATTCGGATGAAACACTTGCAACTAATATTAAAATAAACTTAAATTGTAAAAAAAAAAAAAAGAAAACATTTTTCTTTTTTGGTAGAGATTGTCAATCCTTTGGGTACTGAAACATGTTGAATGAAGGATTGACAATGCTAAAACCACCATCTATGAGAAGGTTATGCCCGCTTATGTACCTACCCTCGTCACTAGCCAAATACAAAGCTGCATTTGCCACATCCTCTGCCTTAAGCGTCACATGCTTTAGATTGCCCAAAGAATTCATCAAATTCTCAAGCCCCTCATCATCAAGCCCAACGAATTTCGTCGCCAAAGGCGTTGCCAGCGCGTACGGCGACAAGCTGTTCACTCTGATTCCAAATTGCCCCAACTCAACAGCCGCGTTTTTCGTTAGGCCTATCACCGCGTGCTTCGAGCAGCAGTACGCGTGCGAGGCAGCGCCCCCAACATAAGAACTTATGCTTGCCGTTGAGATAATGCTTCCACTTCTTGAAGGGATCATTGCCTGCGCGGCGTGCTTAATGCCAAGGAAGACTCCAGTCACGTTCACACTCATCACGCGCTCGAAATCAGCCTTCTCGCTGTCGATGATCCGCGCCTTGTTCTCGTCCGCTATGCCTGCGTTGTTGAACATTATGTCTAACCTTCCATAGGTCTTAACAGCTTCATCCACGGCGTTTTCCACATGGGATTCATCCGTGACATTGCAATGGACATATTTGGAGTTTGTTTGACCTAGGGATTCGCAGACCGAATGGCCGAGATCGTCTTGGATGTCTGCTATGACTAGTTTGGCTCCATGATGGGCAAACACTTTTGCAGTGCATTCTCCAATTCCGCTTGCACCTCCGGTTATCAAAGCCACCTTTCCCTCAAGCCTATTATATATACGTACTTTCAAATTCTAGTCAGTAACTATGCACAAACATTTATATATATAAACTACTAAATCCATTATGTATGTGTATAAGATTTGAAACATCAATACTTTACACGTTAATTGATCAAGTAGAGTATGATATTTTTATTTTGGGGCTAAAAAGAATTAGAGTAGAACTTGATTTGAAATCTTGAATTGTATAAAATTTCATTACCTTCTTGACACTGCCGATAGTAATGAACTGATTGCCATTGCTCAGAGAGAGAGAGAGAGAGAGAGAGAGAGAGAGAGAGAGAGAGAGAGAGAGAGGGA